AGGCCCTCGCCCGAGGGGTTGCCAGCTGGCACTGGCCGGCAGATGGAATTCGGAGGAGGCCTAGCCTGTGGGATCTAATAGGTCTTTGGGAGGTAATTGATAGGAGGCGGTCTCTTAAGTACCCAGGTCCGATGCCATGTAGGGCTTTATAAGTAACGACTAGCAGCTTGAAGCATATCTGGAGACCAATAGGCAGCCAGTGCAGCTCGCGGAGGATAGGTGTGACGTGGGTGAACCGAGGTGCACGCACAATCGCTTGTGCGGCTGCATTCTGGACAAGCTGAAGTCTCCGAACACTCTTCAAGGGCAGCCCCATGTAGAGCGTGTTACAGATTAAGATTGTATCTGTATTCATAGTATTCAATATGCAAGGTTTTTTATTTGCATTTTATGTCCCTTGAAAAATTTTGCCTGGTTATTTTAGAAAAAAATATGGAACATGAAGCCAATATTGTATTTCCTTTGTAAAAGTTTGGTTGGGAGGTGAAGAATTTGGGAAGTTATGTTTATATTTGCATAACCTGGCAAGATGCAATGTACTTACAAAGGTTAGAAATATGCTGGTTTCTCCCATGACAAAGAATGGCTAACAAATAATGAATGATATACTATGCTATGCAAATTAGAAGGATAGATTTTCTTTGAAAAATAGACGTACTTTTGAATATTGTCAAGAAAACAATTTAAACTAAAATATTTGGATTTATTTAGCAAAATTATTAAATGACTTTTCAAATTACAGCATAATTCATGTATCAAGATCACTTCACACAAATCAGCAACACTTGGCTCCAGTGCCATCTCTTCCAGAGAAAGGTGGAAAAGTTCGCCATGGAATAATCCCTGAAGAATTTTTCCAATTTTTGTATCCTAAAACAGGAGTCACAGGTATATCTTTGAAACTATTCTAGTTTCAGTAACACAATTACTGATTTTTCAAAGTATTTTATATATGCATTAGGGAATATTGAGGTGCTGCCATTAATGGAGGGATATTCTATTGTACTAATTAGTGGCAGTGAAATGATAAATATAATGAATTTATGATTTTATTTTTAAATTATGCATTTAAACATATTTGTGGCAACTGCAGGCTTGTGCAATGAATTTTTAAAGGCATGTATTTACTATTAGGAAATAGTCAGATAATCACAATAAAAACTGACAGTCTGGGGTGACACATTCCCACATATCAGCATTTCTCGGTTTTACACTAGTTCTACTCCAGTATTTGCAGAAATGCCAATACCTTTTGGGGATTTGGGTTAATGGTGTTTGACTGGGCAGAAGCAGAAAAGGAGAAAAATGCTTTTTAGGTCCCACTATATGACATTAATTAAGGAATGGGACCTGGGGCACACTTACCCTGTCTGACTTGGTGGGATGGTTAGATATCCTGACGAAGAAACAGTCCTGTAATTTTTCTTTTAAAATTGACAAACATTTTTGTAGTTAGACCTGTGCATTTATCAACTCATTTCAAGGTTAATATAGCAGAGCCCTTGTATCATGTGGGAAAGCCCTATTACAAGTTGACTTATTGCTATTACAGAGACAGTTTGGTGTAGTGATTTAGTGATTTTTGCTCAATTTTGTCCCAGTCCCCAGGAGCACTCTATAAGCTTCCTAAAGGCTATGCATGCTTTTTTTTTACAAAAACCTGGCCTGTCTTCTTGAAAAATGGCCCATTTTTTGCTCATTTTTGGCAGGGAAACCTCCTAGGAGCACTCTACAAGCCTCCTAAAGGCTATTCATGCTCTTTTGGGGGGGGGGGGGAGAACCGGGCTGGTTTTCACGAAAAATTGGCCCTTTTTGGGAGGTCTGCAGAGTGCAAAAACTTTTTTTTTAATTTGTCTCTTCAAAACCTTGGTGCATCTTATACTCTGAAAAATACAGTACCTTAGGCAAAAGCACAGTGAATAACCTTGAAGTATTCACACTCTTGCAGTCCTAGAAAGCAGGCAATAGGAAATCACTTCTGAAATCTTGCCGTGAAAACTACAGAGGCTTTCCCAGGCAGTCACCAGGAGTCAACACTGATTCATATAATCAGTAGCATTTTAGAGAAAATTGTGAAGTGATAAGGTCCCTGAAATATTACTTTAATGTTTGAAAGGAAAGTTAATTAAACTTGCTTAAGTGCTATATCTTGATGAAATTTTGTAAGGAAAAAAACCAACAAAATAAGGTTTGCATTCTTTCAAGCTTATGTGGCCTGCCTCAAGAGCAATAGCTTTTGTCTCTTGCAGTTTACATGCAGGGGAAAGATAATGTGCATAATATTCTCAAGAATCATTTTGCTCCTTTCTATTATATTGAGTATTTCTGCCCTCTGCATAATATTATATTTTGCTTATTGTTAGGTCCATATATGCTTGCAACTGGATTGACACTCTACCTTCTATCTAAGGAAATTTATGTAATAAATCATGAAACAATAATTGGCATTACTGTTTTGAGTGTATTAATCTATGGAATTAAGAAATATGGTCCTCTTGTAGCAGCTTTTCTTGACAAAAAAATGGACGTAAGTACAGTGCTTCAGTTGTATTATACTTTGTTGAATAGCTTATTTTGTTGCAGGTACAGTATATTATAACTTAATATATTCTGCATAATGTGAAGCATTTTAAAGTGATCTTTAGAATGTAGAATACTTTTTGGTATTTGCAAGCATATTATTGTAATAAATAGCTCCCAATTTGACTTTGGCCTTTCTAATTCCTATTTTAATTATTTATTACTGAGATTTCTAGTTGCTGTAGGCTGGTTGTGAATCTTTTGCAGGAAAATACCATGCATTAATAGTAACAAAAAAAGACAAAAACAATAGAATAAAAAATAATATCCATCATGGGAAAAACCCAAACTAACATCTTCTCAAAGCTTACAAAATATCCAGGTTTGTACAGCCTTGAAAAGCCCAGATTTGTAAGGACAAGCAGTTTGACAAAAATATCATACGTGTGTTTACATAGGCTAATTCCATGATTTTCATCCAGGCTGCCTCCTAAATAAACATTTATAGGATTGTAACAAAATCCTAATTTTTATGTGATTCAAAATCATCTTGCAGATAGTCCTTGGATTGCAGCCCTAATTGGAACTGGAATTTGCATCACTAATTTGCTTTGTTAAGCAAAGCATCACATGGCTACAATGCATAGTGATAGCAGTCCTTGCAATCCAGATTGTAGTCATTAGGTCACAACTGTGTGGTTGTTAAACAAGGACTTCATTCTCCTCCTGTTCTGATTGAATCTCTTCTGCTTCACTTCTTTGCTGTTCCTTTTGACTTTCATCATTCTTTTCCTCTCAATGCTGTTCCAGTTGACTTTCATCATTCTTTTCCTCTCAATGCTGGCCTGGAATCCAGGTGCTGGGAGAGGACATAGCCCTAGTAGGGCATCAGAAACTTCTCTGCCGAGGAAGCTTGCCAGACTGGGCTAGGGAGGTAGCAAGACGGAGCTGGCAGATGAGCAGTGAGGTAGTGTGAGTTGAGGAGCCCCATTTTGTAACACAAAGAACAAGCCCTCAGATTGTAAAGAGCGCAGTGAATCAGGCCAGCAAAGTACAGCATACTCTGTGGCTGGGTGGGGCCGGAGAAGCAGAGGTCGTTCCCGGGGGAAAGATAGCGACTGCGCAGGAGGAAGGTACTATTCGATGTGGTGGAATAGTAAGAAGTGAGTAGGCTCTTTTGGTGCTGGGCTCACCTCTACCCTTGCTGAAGCCCACATGCTAGTTTCTTGCATATGCTCCATAGCATGCATTGGAAGCTGCTTTACAAGGCTTTGCAAGAGTAATGCTGGACTGAATGAGCAGAGGGTGTGTAGGTAGCCTCTTTGGGTTCATGTCCATCCTTCATTGAAGCTCACAGGCTGCTTCTTTATGAGCAATTCAGGATCTGGAGACAATGCTCTGTGCCTCTGGGAAGCCCTCAACCCTCTGCTTCCTCTGGTTCCAGTGCCATCCTGAATAGGACTTCCTGTAGAATCACCATCTTTGCCCAGGGATCTCTTGTTTTGCTCAGCAATGGAGGCTGTGGCCTGTTCTGCAGGTGAAGGGGATCCCTGCCCACAAATGCCATCTTGCCTATTCCCAGCTGGGTCTGGCAAGCTTTCTTTGGCACATAAGATTCTGCTGCTCTGCCATGCTCACAGTGCATATCCTTGGACTGCATCCTCATTCAGTGCCTAGACCTGGAAGAGCAGGAGAAGAAAGGAAGGAAGATCAGCTTGGAATAGGAGTGGCAGAGTCTAGGGTGTCTGAAAGGGCAGAGATTTGTGTGGAGAGAGAGATAGAAGTGGGTGGCCCATTGGCAGACAAGGCTCTCTCACATTGCCACACATGTCCAGGCATGCATCCTTACAAAGCACATGGATCTCAGACCAGCGGTGGGAGGAAGAAGATTAAAGTCAGTTGGGGTGACAATGGCATAGTCTGTGGTGAGTGCAAGGTGTCAAAATGGGCAGAGATTGGGGGGAGATAGATGGTGTTGAAATTGAAGCAAAGGTGCTTCTCGCATGGCGGGAGAAGATAACTGGGTGCTATGATGAAAATGCAGATTGGTTGCCTAGTTCTCATTCTGATCACGTGACACTTCAAAGATAAGTTGTAACTAGCACCATCATAATTTCATATGTGAAATGTCAAGAATTTCAAGGAGATAAAAAAGCTATGCAGTAAAACTTCTTACAGAATTTAATGTACCTGAATATTCTACGTTCGTGTGTATTATTACTAGAACTGTTATCCAGAGTTAAGAGATGCCATTGGAGTGTTATTATCTGAGTCAGGATGGTAGGCACAGATATTACTTATCTGTTCAAGTAGGGAAACATAAATGAAAACTGATATAATAGGTTGTTTAATTAGAAGCAACCAGTATTCTTGTTTGCTGTTTAACTAATGGGAGAGGCAATACTGTCTCCTGCATTATTCAACATTATATGAACTGGAAAGTCTGCCGTGTTTGTCTCATAAACAGAACTTAATGATTCCAGTTTCTTCTAACAAACTACGGTTCTGTGTATCATATAAATGAAATAGAAGTAGCCATCTTTATGTGCTTGGCTAGTCTTGCTAGTAGAAGGAACCAAATGAGAATAGTGACCACCTATATTCTGGTTGTTAACAGTTAAACCAGAATTCAATCTGAATGCAGCCTATGATGTTAAATTGCTAGTGTTTGTCAACGTTTATAACTTCATATTTTTTTCACAGTAATAATTATACTTTCTTTTGCCAATAGTATTGTGTTGAGGTAAAATTAGCATGTAGCAAAAGACTGAACATTTTGATTTCTTTTAGGATTAATACTTTAGGTTTATACTTCTTTCATTGTAGGAGGAACTTGCTTCTTATGAGGACTTTAAAACTGCTTGTATAAATAGATGCCTGGAGGGAATTGAGGAGGAGAAGAAAGAACAATGGAGACTTGATGGTCGCCACTATCTCTTTGATGCCAAGCGGGTAAAGTAGAAAATGGGACAGTTCTAAAAAATACTTGGAAACAACTCTTAAAACACTTTGCTTGTCCAAACCAGCTAGGGCTGACAGAAATTAAAATCCAAACTTCTGGATATTATGAAGTTATCTTCCCTCACTCTAGAACACAGCCTTCTGGTAACTATTACAATAATGAATACATGGTTTCATTTTTATGATCATACTTGTGATTTATGAGAGTAGTACTCAGTTTGTTCATACCTTAGTCATGTTATGGCTGGATTGTTCTGACATACTCTACATGGATTGAGTACTAAAAAGTACAACTGGCACAGAATGGTTCATCCAGGTATCCTCTTCTCTGTGAACTGCACTTAATCATCTTATACTTTTTCATACAAGAGTCATATGTCTCGCTGTTCCATTTTCACACTTATTTTTCCATTGTCTTCATTTCTTTGTGTAATTGTCTATGCTTGCTTTGACAGCACCAGAACATTGCCTATCACTACTTGTATTTTTTTCACTAGTTATATCACTTTCCTTGTAAATAATTAAATCAGCTATGCTTTTTTATTTACATTTATTCCTTTACATCTGTATGTATGAACATATTTACGTTTTATTCTTATATATCACATGAATAGTATAATCAAAATAATAAGGAATCTCATGTTTTCTGGTGACTCTAGAACAATATTGCTATGATCCTGGAGGCCAACTATAGAGAAAGGCTTCTCACTGCATCCAGGGAGGTGAAGAAGAGGCTAGACTATCAAGTCGCATTACAGAACCTCAAGCGGGGTATGGAACGAGATCATATGATCAACTGGGTAGAACAAAGCGTTTGGAAGAGTGTTACAGCCCAACAGGTAATTAGCAAGTATTTCCTTACAGGTGGCTTGTGGACATTTTACTGCTGCAAAAGCCACTAGCTTTCCCTTCCTTTACTCCATAGTGAAAAAAAAAATCCAATTGGGTGATAGATACATCTCCTTGATCTAAGAATTAATGTTTCATTTTATTGATATTACACTTTTGTATTTTGTTGATGAACCGTTTTAATCAAACTATTTATTTTCATGTGTTTTATATTGTTTCTGTGGTGTAAGATACATGTAATAAGTATATGCTACATATTTTTAATGTTGCATATTCTTTGAAAAGGTTTTAGAAAAGGTTCTGAGAATATATGCTGGACTTGCAGATTCTTCAGCTCATCAACCTCGATATTAGGAGATAGATTGTTAATTGATCTCCAAATGTATCTGGAAATAATTTAATAACTATTGCTTTAATTAATAGTAATACTACAATAATAACCCAATTTTTACCTTTGGGAGTTAGTATTGATCACATTGAGGAACGCTCCTGTAAGGCAACCATGTCTTTTTCGAAACTTCCACAGACTGAAAAGAGAACACAGCTGCATTCATGGCCACACAGAAATCTAAAAAAATGTGGCTTGGCTGCTCTAAAGATATCCCACAGTTCTGAATTCCAGCATAGCTTTGAATTAATGTCACAACATACAGAGTCTTTTTGTACATCTTTTTTGAAGTATACAAGACATAAAAACAAAAGCAACTCTTAGATATTACCCATTAATACTTATTGAGAATGAGCAATATTTTGGGGCCAGTGAAAACTACTGTAATTTTAAGGGGAAATTGTGAGTGTCACAAATGGTTGTCATGGGCTACAAATGGTAGCTTATAGATAAGTGCTATTTTACTTTCAAAGTTGCTGTGTGATGTGATATTCTTACAAATAACAATTATATCAACTTTCCATTTTGAAATTAATGGTCAGGCAGAAAAGCAACTACCATATTTTTCAGAGTATAAGACACACTTTTTTTCCTCAAAAAAGAGGGTAAAAATCTGGGTGCATCTTATTCACTGAATGCAACATTTTTGGCCTCCCGAAACCCCACCACCATCACCAAAATAGCCATACATGGCCTTTAGGAGGCTTCCAGGGTGCTCCTGGGGGCTGGGGAGGGCAGAAATAAGGGAGAAACGGGCCATTTTTTACTCATTTGCCCCTCCCCCCGCCCAGCCCCCAGAAGCACTCTATAAGCCTCCTAAAGGCTATGCATGCCCTTTTGTTTTGACAAAAAACGGGGGATTTTTTGCTCGTTTTTTGGGGGCCCTCTGAGCCCCCAGGAGCATTCTATAAGCCTCCTAAAGGCTATGCATGCACTTTTTTGACAAAAAACTGGCCCGTTTTTGCAAAAAACAGGCTGTTTTGGAGAGGTCTGCAGAGTGCAAAAACTTTTTTTAAAATTTGCCTCTTCAAAATCTTGGTGCGTCTTATACTCTGGTGCGTCTTATACTCTGGTGCGTCTTATACTCTGAAAGATACGGTAGATACTGGACTCCTTTCTCAATCTTGGTTCTTTTATTTTATTTTAAATATAGCAAGCTGTAAAACAAAGTACAGACTTCTTTACTAGATTCTCCATAGCAGATGGGCTTTTCAAAATTATGATTACAAAGTAACGGATGACAGTCTGGTATTTTATTTGGAAGGGAGTAAAGAGAAATAAATTGAGATTCTCATTCTTTAAAAGTAAAGGAGGCATGGGAAAAAGTTTCCTTTCTAATAATATGTGTGTCATGGTGACCATGGCCATCATGGCAGCTATGTTCGGAGAGCCCCCAATAACATACCTCAAAATCTTGACCAATCTCCACCCTGTAGAGATTGGGAACTTCACTGTCATTCATTGTTAGAATGACAGCTATTACTTTTTAACTTATTTGTTAAATCACTCAGTTGATGCTAAGAACCATGTTAGCCTCAATTAAGTGAAACTGCTTTGTTTTGTTCTTTATTTTGCAAGTTTGGCAAAACATGACTTACAGACTCAGCCAAATATGAGCTATTCAACAAATAAGCATATATAAAAGTATGTGAAACTCCATTGGAATTTGGAGTGGGAAGTTTTTAAAAAATATTTCTATATAAAATTAATAGATTGCAATTATTTCTCTAGAGGTCCAAACCAGATTTTACTTTAAATGCATAGTTATCAAACATAATTTCTGTTTTTCTCAGCTTTTTTAATGAGATTAATCACTGTATTTGGAGATAATTTTTCATTATAATAGTGATGGAAAGGCATGATTAATTATGTCTTTTTCCTTAGCTCAAAATGCAGAAAATGAAAATATGATATGGCACCCTTTTTCCTCATAAAATTGTCTTGTCTTTTTTCATATCATGAAAAAAGATGCTAAAAAGATTACTTCATAAACCAACAGTATGCTTTAACAAAATGTTTTTATTCTAAATACAGGGAAATTGGTCTAGGGTAGTCTTCACAAATCTTATATCTCTACATTTTAAATAGCAGATGTTTTCATTGAGAGATTGGGTAAGGAGTTAAATATTTTTCAATATGCCAATTAGATTCTCTAAGAATGGATTTCTTTAAGTTACATTTTTCCTTCATGGACCAGAATACTTTATTTAAGAACCATGTATGTTCTTATTTTTTGTGTAGTTTTATATCTGATCAGTAGATTATTTTTTTAATACTGGTTTTTGGAAAGATAAATGTAGTTTAAGTAACTTCATTCTTGGGTCTTAGTTGATTAGCCATATCAAAGTGCAAAGTTCCCAAAACAAATTATTACTAAAATTTGATAAAAAGCAAATTTAAAATGAAATCGGAATAAAATATGATTTAAAATGAAATTGGAATAAAATATAGTCTAAAATGAAATTGGAATAAAATATAGTCTAAAATGAAATTGGAATAGAATGCAATAATTTATGATATAGATAAAATATGATAAAATTATATTTTGGTGTCACCCCTGCAATCTACTCCAATTAGTCCCACATATGCAGATCTCAACTGAACTATTTTGCTTAAATATTGTGCTGTGTTAAATTTATTTTTAGATTCTGACCGCACATAAGTTATTTTGGTATGGGGAATCCCAATGGCGTTTGTTTGGTATATAGACCGAGGTACCTGTCTCTCACCCTCTTGTATAAGGCAACAATCAAATAGGATGTAAACCAGGTCTTCTACCTCTGCCGCTCCGCAAATGCAGAGATGTTCATTGTAGGGTATAGAATGGAATCTTCCATATCTGACCATTGTGTCGAGTTATTCGAATCTCGTTTGCGTAAATATCTTCCTTAGATGTTTTGGCAGTTGTAACTTCAAATAGCTGTTTACTTGAAAAGTATGTTTGTATTTGTTCAACCATTTCAGATTACACACCTTACTAAGGATAGCTATGTCATTTTGTGTTTCTGTATCCTTAATTCTTTGGGCAGCTCTTTTTTAAAATTAAATTCTTAATTTCAGTCAAAACTAAATGTTTTAAAATTTGTGTACATTTAATAGCATGTAATTTGTTTTTGTACAGAAGTCAGTTGTGTAGAATCATAAAGCTGCAGTGAACCTCCAGATCTTGAATATTTTCTGTAGGTTCTTTAAACTTAAAATGTTAATTTCTTTTCTATATTATAGGAGAAGGAGAACATTGCCAAATGCCTTTTGGACCTGAAAGCATTATCAAGCTCTGCCCAAGCATCTCTTTAAGTCAAACGTTATTGAAACTTCCAAAATTGTACAATTTCTATCTTTAATTAAAACATATGTATCATGGTTTGGTTTACTCTGAAAGTTCCTTGAATGTGTTCCTCTCCTTATATAGTATTCAGAAAAGAGATACTTTTGAAAATTTAACCACAAAATAATGTAAATGAAATTCATATTTGTCTTCTCTAAATATGGCTAATACTGTTTCACACACAAATATTTCAGAAGTGTTTTATCGGGCCTCTTCACAAACTTGGAGAAAGATTTTCCTGTTTTAAGAAATTGACTTATTGTAGTTAATGCAACTAGTAGCACACTGGTGGCATAGGATCAGAGTTTATCAGGTTGGGATTTTATGAAATATCAGTAACAGCTTGATATTCAGAAGATCAGCAAATAGCACTTTTTAAAGATTTAACACTGGTCTAGTAAGGTCTGTTAACTGCTATTCTTCAAATGAAGTAAGTGTCTAGTGCAACCTTATGTAGTGGAATATAGTAAGGAGGTGGATTCCCAGAAGGGAGAGGTGCATTTCAAAGGAGTAAGAGGCAACTCAGTCCAGATATGTGTGAGAGAAAGAAAATGAAAATGTTTCCTAATAGTTCACAGGGAAGTGTATATTGTAAATGAAGATAGTAGAATGCTCAGTTTGGCAAGATTTTGTCTATTGGTGTAAAACAATAAAGAACATCTTAAAAGAATCGCATGTGTCAGTCTTGGTTTGGGACTGACACCTTAGTACTTGGCAGTGTATGTTCAAAGTAATCTATCAGCATTTATACCTTGTGGCTAAACAACTATTCACGTGTATTTAATAGAGATTAAAATGTAAAATACAGGATTCATTTCTGTATATAGGTAACAGATAACAGTAACCCAGTGATATCAAATGGAAAAGGTAATTGAAAGTAATTACAACTACCTATACATATTCACCAGGCATTTCTATATATTTCTAAATCCATTACTTAACATTAAGTATTAATTGTGTTCATATATATGAATGGAATTTCTCTTATGATCTGATTCTGAATAAATAGCTACACTATGAAATGTGGAAGATTTCTTTAGATGTGCAGTTCCCTGGGCATTTTTATTCTGCTCTAAATCAAAGGCTCATACTCTAGATACAGATTTTGTTTTAGAGCAGTGGTGGCATGATCTCGAAATTTTCTTTTGCATTGGACAGGTCACTTCCTGTTAATTGTGAAGTTTTGTGTGGGATTTCTTCGCTGCAAGCAAGAACATGTTAGATTGATCCAATGAAATACCTAATAATCACCATTGATTTTGTGAGGATATTGGGTTGTCTAGAGTTCTTATGCATAGTTTGACTGAAGGAGTTTTTTATTTAAAATAGGCAGGCAACTGCATCATTGGATCAGATCATGCCTATGCAGTCTCTATAGGAATTCCAGGGAGCCCTTTTTCAAAGGAACTCCAGGAGATGAAATTACAAGAGACGCATAGAACGGTGGTCCCCAACCCCTGGTCTATGGACCAGCACCAGTCTGTGGCATACCAGAAACTGGACTGTGCAAACAAGTGAAGCTCCATCCGCGGGATGCAAGCAGCACATGAAACCAACCCCCCTTCCAGTCCGCAGAAAAACCTCCACGGAACTGGTCCCTGGTGCCCAAAAGATTGGGGGACACTGGCCTACAGCACTATTAGTAGAAGATGAGCAAATTTGTATGAGATAAAGGTTTACTTTGTGGCAACAAGAATGGTGAATATGCAACATAGTTAATGTGACCCAGTTATTTCTGGTGAAAAGAGCAAAGAAAGCACCTGCTGGGCTCCTATAAGGAATGCTCTTGGCATCTGTTATATCAGGTTACTAGGATCTGCTTTGAATTAGGTGCCAGTTATACACCTAGTATGGAGTTTATTATCTAACATAAACTATCGGGGAAGAGTTTGGTTCTGAGGAATTGGACATCTTGAAGCTTTTGTCACCAGTGTTTTAAGAACCTGGTTGGTGAAGGACTGTGCTGGTGGCATGTGGTTAAATCCATGTAAGGGTTAATCCACTTCAGAGGTTGGTTCTGACAGTTCTGAAGGAAACAGTAATTCACCCCTTCAAATGGATGTCATCCATGCTCCAAAATTTCTTGGGAAGATTGATGAGAAGAAAGCTGAAGAGTGTCTTCAAAAGGCCTTGGAGGAAGTGCATTATATGGACCTCTTCCAGTCCAGACAGTCCTTAGATAGCACTGTATATTTTTGATGTCCTATGATTCTCTTAGGATGGGGAAGTGCATTCCTGTTTAATCTCCTTGATGTGTCAGCGGTCTTCCATATGAATAAATATGGTATCCTTCCTTTCATTAATGAGTGGAGCCATTAGAGAATCTTGAAAGTTTTGTAGAGGTCCAGGTGCTTCTTATCTGTGGCATTCCCCTAATCTACTAAAATAGTGACTACCAAAGAAAGAGATTAAGGTCAGTGTGACTTATTTGTTTGCAGAGAAGCCTTGTTGGCCTCTTATTCATTATAGCCTGCCTAACTAAATGTTCATAAAATTACTGCATGATAATCTGTTGAAAGACTTTGCCCAGTATAGATATCAAGTTGACAGGTCTTTATTTTCCTAGATCATCTTCATTTTGAAAAGTGGGATATCTTACTGAAATGGATTTAAGATTAGCAAATCTTCTGCCCTTTTAGATTTATTAAATCTGAACATCAATATACATAACGAAATTTAGGCAAAGAAATGTACTTCAAAATGATGTTTTCTTGGCTGTCCATAATATCCTCAGGAATCTTCCACAAAACCACTTTGGTATCTTGTCAATTCTAAGGCATCTCAAAAATCGCATCATGCCACAGTGAAAAGAAAAGCAGATATAAATGACCACAAGGTGGCAACAGTGTCCCATAGGAACATTCTCCTGTATACTATACTTGACCTGTAAAGGAAATCCATTGTGCTTATTTCTCAGCCAAGTGGTGACAAGGGTGTGTCCAACCAATATCCTTCCACACCATTTTTCTAGTGGTAGAAAAAAAATATTGTCTTCTGAGTTGCTTCTACATGCTCTAAAAATCTATACCACAATTGCTTGCTTGTTTAAATTGCCTCACTGTTGGATATTGAATAATATAATGTCTTTGTTCTTATTTGTGTACATAATCTCATTGAACTAAATAATTGTGGATTTGGAAAGAATTGTAAATATAACATGCAATGTGCAGGAAAACCTATTAAATCATCCTTGAGAGCTGGCCATTCAGCATCTTAAAATTTTCCAAGATGGAGAACCCATAGCTTTCAAAATAGACTATTCTGGTGACAATGAGACAGATCTTATTGTCAGGAAATTTTTCTTTATATACAGTACAAGCAAACCATAGAAAGCTGCAATTTCATCCATTATTTCTGGACTTAATTTCTGTGGTATTGGAAAATAATTCTTGATCATTTTCTCTATGCCATTCTTGTATCTATCTCAGATCTTCCCACATTCTCTTTGTGTTTCATATCTAATTTACATTAACCCAAGGGATCTCATGAGTGAACTGAACTACATCAGTTGTCAGAGTATTAAACATTTTAACCACATGAATTGTTTCACTCCAGGTAATGGTTTTGTATATGCTAGACCTGTCACACCTAATTTAGTTCTTTAGTCCTAATTTGTGCCTCATAAATCTCAGCATAGTCAACAGCTGTGCTTGGCATTATAGAAGCTGACGTTCCAGATTGGAAAGATACCAGATTGGGAAGGTTGAACCGGATAATAGTTTGGATGGAGGACTTGTGTTTGGAGAGAACAGATGTGTTTGGATGCCTCCTCATGAAAAGCTCTAGTTCACTTGATTACCATATTTTTCGGAGTACAAGACACACTTTTCCCCCCTAAAAGAGGGTGAAAATTTGGGTGCGTCTTATACACCGAATGTAGCCCCACCCACCCACCGGTCCCCATCCTTTGGCCTCTGCCTCCCAGCAATTGACCTCTTTGCAGCAAATGTGGGCTTGCAGAGGCTTCAATAAACTATAGCAATCCCTGCAGCCTCTAACAGCTGATGATCAGGAGAAATTGAAATGAAACCAGCTGTTAGCTCCACATGGCAAATTGTTGGGAGGCAGATTTTTTTTCCTTGTGCTAATCAGGCTGTTTGCTGCAAGGAGGTAAGTCAACAACTATAAATGTATATAGAATGTTCAAATTATTAGACATTTTTTAAAGACTGCTTTATTATATTTCTAGACAACTTAACAAAATGAAGCTTTTTAAAATAAATGCTTGATCTGAAGAGGCCTAGTGCTATTGTTTTAAAAAGTGCTGTTATAAATAGCAGAGAATAACTATATTTCCAGAAAGCACATTTTTAACAGCATCTGTACAAGTATAGTCTGAAATATAACACTACAAACTGTATATTGTCTGTTCTGTTTGTTGCAAGGAGGCAAATTGCTGAGAGGCAGATATTTTTCCCTTGTTTTCCTCCCCAAAATCTAGGTACGTCTTATACTTCGGAGCGTCTTATACTCCAAAAAATATGGTACATTTTTTCCAACGCTTAAAGGTGCCACCAAGAACTGATTTGATTGCCTTATATTGATAAGAAGAAAAAAGCAAAGGCAAACCCTTTAGATCAGGACTGTCAAACTCGTGGCCCATGGTCTGGCCATATCCATGTCCGGTTTAGCGAAGGAGAAAAAAGTCCAAGCGACACAAGTTTAACACCCTTGATTTAGATTCTGGATCAATTGGAAATTATTCCAATCCAGCCTTTCGAATGTTTTTCTTTACATACAGGGATTTCAGTTGTCTTAGTTCCTAGCTGGAACAGCTAAATTGCCTGGGATTTACCTGTGTAGAAACCTGTCGAGACCATCAAGTTGGAGAAAGGCTTATCTAATCAGTATTAAACAAGTAGTGTGTTCTATTACGTGAATTGTTTTTGTTTCATAACATCTATTACCTTAGTCAGAAGTATATCTTTCTGTTATTTCCATCTCTGTTGAAATCCTCACTGGCCCCTTCTCTCTCTTTCTTTGCATTGCATAGCAAGAAATGTCATTTCAAGGCAGCATCTTGAGAAATTCTCTCTGAGAGCTGAATGGCCCCACCCTGCTAGTGTTTGGTGAAGGACCTTGAAGACCTGGCTCTTCACCCAGGCCATTGGAGAGGATCACTAAAGCTTCCTACTTTTTCCACACAATTTTACCCTTGTTTCTTTTCCTGGTTATTGTTTCTTGTTTCTTTTAATATTTTAAGTAATTTGCAAATCGCCCTAGTTGTTGGCAGTTGGTAGTGTGTAAATGTTAATAATAGAAATGCCAAATCAAGTTTCAACATCTGGCTGGCTGTGCGATGTAATAAGGCCAAATTTTGATATCTGAACAAAGAATAGGCCTTGTATTAAATATGAGGTTTAAAAGTGAAACAAATTGAGTAAATACAGACTACATGGTAATTCAAACTGTAAGGGGGGAAAAATATAGCTACTGTATTTTCCAGGCAATATAAAGTCTTCCAACCAGACAATGATATAATAGGCAGCTGGATCCAGTGAAACAAGTCCACTGGCTCCTTGCCAAATGACCCAAGCTATCTGCCTGTGGGATAGATGTTTTCCCTTAGGCAATATCTGTTTCTTGTTCAAAACCAAGCAATCTACTAACTGGAGACGTTACTCTTAGCTTGTGCAGCAAAGAACGAGAAGTTATTCTCTTAAAAATTCA